GGGTCAATCTGGGCTAGGGGCAATGAGTCACGCCTGTAATCCAGCACTTTGGGAGGCCAAGGCGAGTGGATTACTTGAGTTCAGGAATTTGAGACCAGCCTGGCCCAGATGGTGAAACCCTGTCTCTACTAAGAATAGAAAAAATTAGCCTAGTGCAGTGGCATGTACCTGTAATCCCAGCTACTCGGGAGGCTGAGGCAGGAGAATTGCTTCACCCTGGGAGTCAGAGGTTGCAGCGAGCTGAGAAAGTGCCACTGCACTCCAGCCTGGGCCATAGAGTGAGACCCTGTCTCAAAAAAACAAACAAAAAACCAAAACAAAACAAAGACAAACAAAAACCCCCAAAACAATCTGGTGGTCAAAAACTGAGGTCTTGTCTTCCCACACATTTCTCTATTCCTGGGGTGGGGGCAGCCATCTCTCTGGGTGTCCGTGGCCTTTGGCGTAGCTGTCTGTTCCCCTTTTCATGTGCTTTGGTCTGTTTGAAAGGCCCCTTTCATGGGCTGAATGGTGGCCCCCAATAAGACGTATCCATGTTCTACTCCCCAAAACCCATGAATGTGACCTTTGATGGCAAAAGGGTGAATATGACCTTAGTGGCTAGAGTGTGATAGAGGCAAGGTCCCTGAGAGCAGGAGCCTCCCCTGGACTACCCAGGTGGGCCTCACGAGGGAGAACTGCCGAGAAGCAGGCATAAGGGGAGGAGGCCACGTGAGACAGAGGCAGAGATCGGAGGGAAGTGGCTACAAGCCAAGGAACGCCTGGAGCCCCCAGATGACAAGGAAGGGTCCCCATGTAAGGTTTGGTGTTCTGGTCCTTGGGGAGGGCAGCACCTGCTGAAAAGGGGCAGGTTGAGACCCAGGGACCGCCTCAGGCCCTCACTGGCAGCCCCCAGGCGGGGGGCAGCAGACCCTAGCAACTCTGACCAGTGCCTGCGCCTGAAGTCCCATCTCCAGGCGCTCCCTCTTATCCTCCTGACCCTGTACCTGCCTTGCTCGGTGAGGCACTGTCCTCCCTCCTCCAACTAGCTACCAGCCAGGCAGGCACTGTTGAGGGCTGGTGTGGGCAGCCCTGCCATGCCCAGGGTCTGGGTTCTGAGGTGAGACTTCTCCCCATGTCCCAGATACAGAAATTGAGACCTAGGGAGATTTGGAAACTTGGTGGACACCACAGACTTCTTGAGGAGCCCGACAAGGGTGACCTGTGGGTCTGCCCTGAGTGGGGTCCTGGACACAGCTGTAGCTGCCCTGTTTCTCCTGGGCTGGGCTGGGCCAGGCTGTTGGGTTGTCATGGTAAGTAACATCCGGCTGCCGCCTTCGGAGAGCCATGAGTCAGCATAGCCAGGATGGGCCAGTGATTGGCACCTTGGGGACAGGCTGGCAGGCGGGGCCTCCCTCAGGCACACCAAGGTGACCTGGCCTCAGCAGGAGGCATCCAGGCCTCACCCTGCAAGAGCTGGGCCCTGGCTTCTGTCCTGAGCCTCGGGTCTGTCTCTTAAATTGGGAAGGTCCCAGGCACATGAGGTGGCTGGAAACCCTCACCAAATTCAGAGCATCAGAAACTCAACCAGGGCCAGCCTCAGGAGGCGTCCTTCCAGGAGGCCCTGCTGTTGGGGGAGAACTGCTTGCCAGTGTCTCCTGGTGGGTGCGGCTGAAACAGCTGGGCCTGGGGTCCCCTGGGCCCCCCACTCCACATGAAGATGCTCCCTGGGGCAGGTTGGGGAGGAGGTGCCTGCTTCAGCAGAAGGAACCTGGGAAGGCACCTGTTCTGAGGGCTTTAGGGCAGAGGCCGAAGTCCATGCCAGGTTGTGGCCAGGTCAGGCTGGCTGGCGGGGAACCACAGGCTTCTGCACACAGCAACCCCTTCTGCAGGCCCGGGGCTCCCTCAGGGCACTGCAGCTGTGGTTGGCTGAGTCTGGGATGGTCACTTCTCCCACCGCTGCCCCCGGCTGTTCCTCTGTTGCTCCCTGGTTGCCCAGCCCTGAGTCCTGACTCAGAGCCAGGCAAGCCAAGGACCCAGCAGGGGCAGGTCAGAGGTCGGTAATATCAAGGTGTGCCTGGATGAGCCAGACAGAGGCCAGGGGCTCCACCTACTCACCCTGGCTGCTCCCACCTTAGGGGCAAGCTTGGATCCTGGCAGCCCAGGCTGACTCAGCCTGTCCGGTGATGGGGTGGGGGGCAGCCTGGGGCATTTCGAGGGAGGGACAACATGGGTGGGGTGGCAGGAAGCCCTGGACCTGGGACTTGGGGAAGGGGCTCTGGCCCCATGGGTGGCCCCTTGGGGATGGAGAGGTTTGCTGGGCAGCAGGACAGGAGCAGGGAGGGATGTCGGCTTGGTCCCAGCTCCACATAAACGGGGGCCATGAGCCTAGAGAGCAGACTGGCCAGGTAGGGCGACCTGGGGGACACACCACCCGCAGACCCACATGCCAGGTAGCTGTGGAAGAGGGTCCCAGGTGACCCTGCCGGGGAAAGCAGCAGCCGTCAGGTTCTGGGGTCACAGCTCCTGACTCAAGGGAAAAAGCAGAATTTTAAGTGGAATCACCCTGTTTTGGGGACTTTTGAAAACTGAGCTTCAGGCTGGGTGTGGTGGCTCACATCTGTAATCCCAGCAATTTGGGAGGCCAAGTGGGTGGTTCACCCAAGGTCAGGAGTTCGAGACCAGCCTGGCCAACATGGTGAAACCTCATCTCTACTAAAAATACAAAAACTAGCCAGGCATGGTGGTGCATGCCTGTAATCCCAGCTACTTGGGAGACTGAGGCAGGAGAATCGCTTGAACCTGGGAGGTGGAGATTGCAGTGAGCTGAAATCATGCCACTGTACTCATACTCCAGCCTGGGCAAGAGCGAGTCTCCGTCTCAAAAAAAAAAAAAAAAAAAGCTGAGCTTCATTGAGGACTAACTTACGTAACAACCTAATATACCCATTTCTGAGGTAACTCAAGAGTTCTGACAGCAGTATATACCTGTGTAATCACTTCCATCCCTCCAAAGGGTTCCTTGGTCAATCCTCCCGCCCCAGATCCCTCCCAGGCAGTCACCGGCACTATAGCTTTGCAGGCTCTAGAACCAGACAGAACCGGGGCCCTCCAGAGGCCGTCTTCCGTGCCTGCCTGCTTGCTGTGTAGGTTCTTTCGCTCCTTGCCCAGAAGCACTCGTGTGATGGCAGTCGACAGAAGTGTCTCAGCCACCTGTGCAGGGGGGTGCCCCAGGCCCCACCTCCCATCTCCTGGGCTGCTCCCCAAACTCCTGCCCTGACCCCAGTGCCACCCATTTTGAGTCTCAGTTCCCGCACAGGGTGAACAGCCACAGGGAGGGCAGGGGCTGGGGTGGGGCTGGACGGTGAATGTCTGCCTCCCCAGCAGGGGGCTCAGCAAGGACAAAGGAGGGGCCTGGCTAGCAGAGCTGAGGTTCTATGGCGGCACCCCCTGGCCCCCAGGACCAGAAGGGAAGCACCCACCCTTCACCCAGGCCAGGCCGGGCAGCCGCCACAAGCCCCCACTTCCCAGCTGCCTTCCAGATGGTGGCTCTGGGCAAACCTCTCAACCACTCAGCAACTTTCTGTGACCACTCATGGCTGAGGTCCCGGAGCTGACAATGGCCTGGGCCTGGGATGGTTCCTGGGCTCCTTGGCCACTGGAGAATGACCTTCCCTTTCCTGAGACCCTGGGAAGCAGGCAGGACAGCGGCCATGCAGGGGTGACAGAGGCCAGGTGCTGAGGTCTTGGGGGAAACCAGGCACCTGCACCCTCAGGCCTCCACAGCTCCCCAGGCTTCATGTTGAGGTCCTGCAGCCAGATGATGTCCTTGGAACTGGGCGGCATCCACGAACCATGCACTCCCAAGGGTCAGACTCAGTGGGGGACACAAGAACCCAGCTCTGTGAAGGATGCACGGCAGGTGGGTGCAGGGTCCTCACACACTTCTTACTCAAAAGGGAAAATCCAGATACCCCCATCCCCAGAAACCACAATGTTAACATCCCCTTTCCCCCACTTGTGCAAATCTGATCTACAACCACCCAGCTAGGTAGTGAGGGGCACTCCATAAGCTGTAGAGCCCTTCCTAAAAGGCACGTCGGGCAACCAGTGGACAGGGCAGTGTGCAGGGCTCTCATCTCCCCAGCTGATGGGGGGTCACTGCAAAATAGCACCTGCCCTTTGGATTATGGGGTCTGACCCTGGGCAGACCAAGTAAGGCCAGGGTGCTGCTCACCCATGGGGCCACCCTGAGGCTGGGGAGCCTGAGACCAAGCTCCCCCAGATACTTCACAGGATGGGGACGGAAGAACGGGTGCAGGAAGCACAGACATCAGGCTCCACAGCCCTTGGGGGTATGCTGGAAGGACATTCACTTCCCAGCCTGCACCTCCCCTTCCTGCTGCTCCCAGGGAGAAGGCAGCCCACGGGTAGGCTGGAGGCGGCAGGGCAGGGCCAGCCATGTGGGGAGCAATGAGCCAGCTCCATGGCTGCCTTCTCATGACGGAGTTTCATTCACCAGTCAGCGCTGCCAAGGCTGGGATTCCCACAGTCAGGTCAAGCAGCGCCAGTGCGGCAGGTGTTTGAGTGGAGTGCCTCCTCTCACTGTGGATGGAAGACACACCAGGAAAAGCTTCAGAGAGCAGACAGACCTAATATGGGCTTTATCAGGAAGTTCTCCTCTTGGAGGCTTCTGGATCGACAAGGCATAGTCCCACTAACTCTGAGAAATGATCCCCTCCTGGGGGAGGGAACAGTCTTCCCCTGGGTCCACAGTGAAGCTGCCTACATACAGCAGTGACTAAGGTGTAGTGGGGGCGGCTACAGCAGCCTCTGCCTCAAACAGCTTTCAAGGCCTCAGAAGTAAACTGTACGGAGCCACCAATACCCAAGGCTCAACAGAGTCCAACAGGGTGTATGGCACATATGAGCCACCGGAGGGGAGCAGATGGCACCCACCTGCTTCCCCACCACATTCCCCTACAAAGAACGACATGGCACAGTGCTGACTCCATGTTTCACAACTTTAATAGAATATTCTAACTATTCTGTACAAATTGAAAACACTGTATTCAGTTACAAATGTGTTCTAAGGTTAGGCTGAGCACTCTCCACAGGCCTGGTCAGTGCGGACACGGCCATCCCCAGGCTGCTGGAGAGCGCCGTCCCCGACTTGGAAACCCCACCCACCAGCCGCCAACCGGTCACACCAAACCCAAGACCTTCAGACAGGATGAATGGTGGGGCCCAGCAATGGGGCTACTGAGAAAGCAGGACTTGACGCTCATACGCTCAACTGAAACGCAGGACTTCCCAGCCCAGCCCCTCACTGGAGAAGACCGCCGAAGCCCGGCTCCGGCAGCAGGGCGGCGCCTGCGTCATGAGGACGGGCTCGCGTCTTCAGCCCTGGTGGCAAGGAGCAGCGTTTCTTCTGCACAGGCCTTGCTCCTGCTAGGAAGTGGCACATCTTCCCGCTCAGGTCACCAAGGTGGTTCAGAAATGGTGAGGGCGAGTGACAGCGAAAGGCCGCAGTCCTCACAGGCAAGAAGGGATAAATAAATATGAGGTGACCCGCAGCAGCTCTTGCCTGGGCTGGTGTGTCACAACCCTGACCCACCCCTTAAAAAAAGAAAATCAAGAAGCAACATCCTAAGAAGAACACAGCCCTACTCTACACAGCCCTTCTGAGATGATTAGCATATAACAGGTGACGCAGGCTGCACACTCGGCAGATTAAGCAGCTGGAAACAGCAAGTGGGTTTCTTCAAATGAAAGGGAAGAATTCAGTCCAACTGCAGGAGGGCGGGAGAGGTTCTAGATCCTGGGAACCACATCAGACTTCGGCCCTTTTTGCCAAGTGACCGCCCCCACCCCGATGTGATCTATGGGGCCCTCCCACAGGGCCCAGGCAAGTCCAGAGCTACAGGCACCAAGGCTGCAGAGGGTGCTGGACGAAACCTCCTATTTCTGAAATGCATTTCAGTTGCCACTGTACAAGTTAAGCAAAATAATAAGGAAAAAGGAAAAGTGAAAGTGAAAATCATGCACTTGAAAACGAGTTAGATGGAGTAAGCTCTGTCGACGGGATTGTGCTGCGGCAAGGACCGAGGTCCCGCCCACAGGCCTGGAGTCCCGACAGTCGGTCTGCCAGGCACCCGCCTCCGCTTCCTACTGCTGCTTGCATTCCGCCGGCTGGCTGGGTTCCTTCTGTCAACGAAAAAGACAAGGCTTGTAGAGAACAAAGTCAGCTCCATTCACCAATTAGCTCCAATCAACAACGAAAGCCAAGACTGAATGAGTTCATTCTCATTGAAAAAAATGGTTACTGCAAATACACTTTTAAAAATAGTGACAAGAACAAAGCTAACTCCCCCTACCCCTGCACAGTCAAAGCAGGGTTGCTTTTTATGTTTTTAAAGCTATGCCTTGAAGCATTCAAATTCATGTCATGTTCAGCAGGAGGGTTCTGGGGCTCCTTGGGGTGGTGAAGCTCCAGGAGGCTGCCCATTAAACGGCTGGGAAGCAGCCGGCACTCCCGCCCACACAGAGCACAGTGCGCTCAACATGGGCAGCTCCACCCAGGAAGGCCACCTCAGAGGCAACCCCTCTTGGTGCCGACAGTCCTCATTTCTCAAGGGCACATCTGTCTCAGGGTAGGCCGGACCCTTGGCGCTCATGGACAGCAAATCTCTCCTCTAGCAGGTTCCTGCTCTTTGTACTACCAGGTTGTGCCCCAGTAGATCCATCCTCTCTGGTGGTCTGTACTGCACCAACAAATGACAAGCTGCCACTCCCAAGAGCTCCATCTGTCACTCACTCTCTTAACAGTCTCACCAAGGGGGAATGTTATCCTTCCAGTAACAGCATCTGGGACACCATTCCCCTCCCAAAGGAATGGATTAACTCCAATATTATCTAACACAGAGATCTTGTACTCTTTAAACCACATCCAGCAACTCCATGAATTTGTGTGGAGTCCAACAATAGCCTAAGAAATATGACATGATCTTGCTAATGCTCCTGAGCTAGTAACTTCATGGACCTATAGCCTGTGATTTCTGGCCAAGATTACAAACTGCTCTTAATCCAGCGTGCCTATGGAACCCAAGAACTTGGACTGTACGGGGCAGAAAGACCCCTGGGTAACCACAGATGACATCCTCCATGGTATAAGCTGGGTTAACATAACTGACATCTTCCATGGTATAAGCTGAGGCTACAGTTCATTCTTTGGGAAATCACATTTAAGGGATAGTCAAAAAGATATGTATAAAAGATGAAAAAAAAAAATCAATAACCTTGAACCCTGGTCTAAGCTCCCAATCTCAGCCACCCCACAGGCTGCCTAAAGAGCCTGGCTGAGAAAAAATGACGCTGACCAAAAACCCTCACCAAAAAGATCAACTGAGACCTGTCAATCTGACATTCAAGGATAGACTGAAGGTGGCCCAGTGTACTAGCCAAGGGCACTGAGCCACTGGCCTTAAGAGTGTGGGGGATGCAGGGCGCCCCGGGCAGGTGCAGTGAGGGGAGGAGTGGGACAAGCAGTGTGCCTCCACCAAGGGACACGCCTAGAAAATGGGAGGTCAGTAAAGGAGCTGTGCAGGGACGGGGAAGACTGGGGCTGGTAACAGGGTGACAGACTCCATCTTTATGTGCATTTAAGTTATGCAAATACTATGTCATGTCATACACAGGATTTTTTATATATATATATTTTTTTTGAGATGGAGTCTTGCTCTGTTGCCTAGGCTGGAATGCAGTGGCTGGATCTCAGCTCACTGCAAGCTCCGCCTCCCCGGTTCACGCCATTCTCCTGCCTCAGCCTCCCGAGTAGCTGGGACTACAGGCGCCCGCCACCTCGCCCGGCTAGTTTTTTGTGTTTTTTAGTAGAGACGGGGTTTCACCATGTTAGCCAGGATGGTTATAATTTATCCTACCACAGATTGAGCATCCCAAATCCCAAATCTGAGACACTCCAAAATCTGGAACCCAAGACAAAGAAAATGCTCACGGGAGGATTCCAGATTTGGAATGCTCAACCAGAAATAAATCTAAATTATCCTAAGTTGCAGAAATGATGTAACAGGCATTTTCAACCATGAGAACGTAGTATTCATCTGTCCTAAATAAAACCAATATCCTGGGTGAAGACTTCTAGAGGGAATAGAGTGCACACAGAACAGACTCTCAAGACTGGTGTCATGACCCAGTGCCTTGTTGGAGGGGAGTGGGCCAGGCACCTGGCTCTGGGAAGAGCTGCTTTCCCCGTGCCTGAGGGCACAGCCCCCTCTGGGCAGGAAGGCAGCACATGGCCCACCCCTGCCAGGCTTTGGTGCTCACACAGCACGCTGGAGCTTCTGCAAGTGACTGACAATTTTAGAAATCAATTTTACATATGAGACACCAATTGTTTTCAGCCTGTGATACATGCCAAAAACAAAAACAAAGAAACAAAAAAACAAAACTGCACCTGAACTCCTAAACTGAAGCATCCATTATCTCATGTCATAGATTTTAATGATGGTTGGGTCATTAATTGACGCTAAGATTATCAAGGGAGGGGGAGCTGGCATTTTAAAAGGTACCAACTAATAGGAAAAAAATCTCATGTCTCATGGGACCATTTAAAAGGTGGGGTTTTAACAGATAACACTCGACCTGAGAAAGGCAACAAAGACATGCCACTAAAACACACTCGACCATAGCTGCGCTGGTGAAGAAGCCCCAAGTGCCCAGAGCTCTATGGCTGAAGAGGCAGTGGCCTCAGGGTGACACTCCTCGGGGTTGCACCCTGCCCTTCTCTTCCAGGGACACATGCTGAAATATGGACAGGTGGCATGCACCAAGGATTCTCTTCAAAAGAGCTGGTGGCATGGGAGGAGTGGGTGAGGGTACAGGTGGAACAGGAGTGGCTAAGTTCTTCAGACATAAGGGGACAACAGGAATTAACGGCAGCTAGACATAATTTTAAACATACAGGCAAATTCTCAAACCTGGCCCTGGAAAACAAAATCGTTCCAAGAGCTGCATCTGCCCTATGTACACATCAGTTTCCCATGAAAGCAGCCTACATGAGGAAGACAGGGAGACGGTGGTGCTAAGACCTCAAGGACATCTGGTCTATGGGCTGCCAGGATCATGCTGCCGTCCCATGATGAGACCCTTAAAATCGGAGTGCCTACATACCCCGGCATGCAGAGGCCCTGCAACGGTCGTGGGATTTCTCACGGCACCTCTTGTTCCCACCTCTCTGCTTTCTCCCACAACATCCCACGAGTGCCACGAGTGAACGGGTCTCGTCACGGACAAGGGCCTCTGTCTACTTACAGCCTCCTGTCAGCCATTCCAGGACAGGGCAGAGCTACAGGGACTGAAGAAAGTGGGGGGTGGGAAAGAGCTTCCAGGATTACTGACACTCATTTTAATCTACAACTGGTTCTTGCTTCATTCAATTAGAGAATTCTCCGCCAACCTCACAACAGTACTTTTTACTGCTGACACCAAAACAGATGCCAGTTAACACTGCAGATAAAAAATGCTGGCACAGTAAAAGCTGTTACTCCTCTGTGTACCTATTGGTCTGCACAGAACATGAATTCAAAAAGTATAGATTTCAACAGACATGTGCTGGTAGTGACAGTGGGCTGATTTCAACTGCCACAGTATGTGTTCTGAGCACAGCTGGGCCCAGTGTGTTATGCGCTCTGCAAGGACTGCTTCCTTATGGTGGCCTGTGTGCGCCACCCTGCAGACTGCTAACCATCCAGGGCCCTCTTGCTGGAAAGCAGTACCATCAGCAATGAAAATAACACCCAAGTTACATCTTTGCTACTTGGTTAGCAAGAAACACTGGGCTCAGAAAGCAGGGACCAAATCTAGGTTTGGTTCATTGATTTTAAAGGTACGTGTAACAGACATCTGTACAAAAACAGTGTTCTTCAGAAAGCTCTATGTCAAACCTGTGACACAGTGAGTGTGCCTGGACAGCAACTCCCTCTTTATTCAAAGTCAAAACAATGCATTATATAAAGTATAGATCAGAAGTTTGGAAGTTAGGTATGAATGGAATTCCACCTTACCTAGAAACGTATGAATGATTAACAGACAAAAATTACACCTAAATGGGGAAAAAAATTGAAAGGAACTGTCAGCATGAAAGAAAATGAAATGCACAAAATTATACAGGAGGCAACGGCCACAATTTCTCATGATACAAAAGGGCTGCAAGATACTGAACTCGGGGTGAACAACTTCAACACCAGATCATACTTTCAAAATGGGCGGAAGCATGATTTTCGCTTTTATCAGACTGCCCCCAATACTAAAACCTCCCTTCCTTCCTTGTTTTCTTTTGCTTGCACAGACTCTAACACTGCCCATCTCTTTGGAAGGTGCATGTGACAGGGATAGCAGGCTTGGACTTATCTCGGCCACACATGCCCGGCCGTCTCTGAACTTCATTCACACCATTAGCCTGTAGATGTTTTTAGTCCTTTCTCCCCCAGCCAACAAAACCTATCAGCGGTCTCATGGCGTGTTAGCCTGTAATCCACCACGTCATGTTCTCTATAATGGCTGGTGAGAATGCTCTTTTAGAAACCTGGGACGTGAAAGGAGACTCAAGGTTCTCCAAGGTGACAGAAGGAAGCAGAACAAACAACAGAGGGGAGGAAAAGAGACGCCGAGGCACAGAATATAGGGAGGGGGAGAGACAAGTACAACAAGGACAGAGGCAGCTGTGCGCGGAGTCTGAGGAGGTGGCCCTGCCAATTGCCCCCAGTCCTTGCTTTACAACTGCAACCTTGAAAGCGTCCATTCAGCGCCCACAAGGTGGAAACATGGCCCAATAAACACACGTGGCCCTTGGGTCCATCAGACACCCTGCAGAGCAGTGACGGGCAGCATTTATTCTCCCAGCGTTGTTCACTGGCTGACTGACAGCCCTCATCTTCCCTGTCCCTACACTGTGATCCACGCAAGGCAGACCCAGGACTTCATCTCCTACAGCCCTCACCGCCCACCACCATGGTGCTGAGCACAGGTACACTTTCAGCACAGAGACCTCCCACATCAACAGGCCAACCTTTAGAAGATGAACATTTCCATGAGCATATTATTCCCAGAGTAGTCGTTATAAGACACATTCTCAAAAAAGTTTTAAAAGCTCTTCTCCCATCCCTTCCCTGAAGGAACCACAACTGTGAACACGCATTCATGGGAATAGCTGGTTTCAACCAACTGATGACAGAGCCAGGATATCACACTGACGGCTTAGTGCACACTCCAAAAAACAAGGGTAAAAACAAGCAAAAAACATCTAGTCAGACAGAGACACATTACAAAAACACCAGGTAACATTAGTATTCTGACAGCCCACAATATACTTAATTTTAAGAGGCAAGGGAACTACACGTTTCATGTTTTATGAGAGGAAACTCTTATGACAGCTGTAGGATGACATTTAAGCAGTTCTGATTTTAAAATGTGTCAAATGGTCAAAGTACCTTAAGTTACTCTGAGACCACAAATAAAAATCTAAATTTGCAGGTAAAATTAATGGGGTTGCCCATTCATTTCCAACTCAGTTTTCTTTAGTAAACCTTCCCAACATATTTTAAATTATCTGAGACAGATGAGATATCTAGACATACCATCTGGGCATGCCCAGCTCAACTGCAACTGTCAAATGATGCCCACAACCCCATTATTCTGCTCCTTAACAAAAAGAGCCCCCAAGTCCCTTCTTTGCACCTTTTCCAAACACGCACAAAGAAAAGTTTACGTTGTCAGTTAAAGCATTACCTTACCTTAAAAGAATGAAACATTGGGAAAGTCAAGGTGCTCCACTGAGGAGTCTATGTAACTAAGACACAGCCTGAGATAGCTGGAAAAGCTTCTAACTGAATATGTACACTCAACACTCAAATTATATACACAGTGCCTGAATAATCATTCCAGTATTTTTCTGACACATTTTAAACTTTCTAATTAGAGAATAATGAATACTGTTAACACTACTGCCTCAAAGTGGGGAACATTTTTAAAAGTCTAAGAGTGTAGCATAATAAGTAGGTCTGGGTGGCCCCAAAGTTACCAACCTTGGGGTTAATTTCTGCATCATCCTCGTCTTCTCCCTCCTCGTCACCTTCTAATTCCTATATTTAAAAAGTGAGAATTAGCTGGAATGACAAGATTTAAACTCTTGTGGCGTTCACAATCCACAAACACACGGAGCAATACACTGCCTTAGATGGAAATCAATTACTGCTACCCACAAGTGACTCATCACTTCCTCTGGACACTTAGAATTATTTCTAGGTATCTTTTTATTCTCACAGACAGCCCTAAAAGAAACACAATTCTGAAAAAGTAGATTTTGTTAAATGATTATTTTCTAAGATACATTTTCATAAGCCAACTGCAGGGTCAAAAACTGTCACAGCATTTGCTATGTATTCTGCTTAGTGTTTTAAGAACACTGTTAGAGTCAAAGACAGCGTCACAAAAAATGGGTGCACCACAGCCCTGTGAGTCCATAACCTTCAAGCAGAGAAAGCCAAAAAAACAACTTCAGGGAGGTAAGTGGCACTGCATAAACCTGTCTCTTACCTCCTCTTCTCCTTCTTCACCTTCTTCAAACTGGAAAAACACAGAAAAACATTTTTAAGTTTACAAAACATGACAGCAGCCTGCCCGAGACACCAGTCCCATCAAATGACTCACTGATCAAGCCTAAGAAGATCAGAAAGTTCAGCCACGCTGCCTGCTGGGCCTCGCTTGGCTGAGGAGTCATTTGCTTGTGTGCGATGCATTTTAAAAGCATGCCAGGAAATTGAAAGTCACGCAAAACAAGGAATAGGATAGGAAGCTGGTCAGCCAGGCTGTACACTGGACACAGTTGGGAACCTGGCACCACAGCTCTGCCCTGAGTGTTCTCACACAAGGAGCAGACACACAGGAAAAGATTTTTGTAAACCAATGAATTTGCTTTCCTTAAATTTTTTACAAGGCTGATCTAACCAGTAGCATAATGTTATTGGATACAGGAACCTAGGTATCATTTTACATCTCACACAAAGGGAAAAAAAAACTTAGTAGAAATATATTAAAACTTTGGTGTTTAATCTTTAAACACTAAGGTGCTCAAAGGTGAACCTCCAACATTAGTCAATTGTCTTGAATCAGTTTCTCCTACATCCAAAGACATCATTGGTCAGACTGAAAATCAAGTTTCAAACATGAAACTTACATTAAAAGCAAAACCACCTTATCACTACTGGTTGCATAACCAGGGTAGTACACTGAAAATGCAGTTTCATTTATCAACATTTCCCTTTTTGTTGAGCTCACACCATGTATTCCTTAGAGCCAACTTCAGTGGAACTTAGAAGGATCTTACTGTGCTGGTGTGGAGTTCACACAGTTTGCACAGCCTCCTGGCGCCACGCAGCAGCCAGGATGAGACGTGACCACAGTGCAGCGCCCTCTCGCTCTAAGGATCCTAACTGGCATCAGACAGGGAAAGACTTCTTAATAATCTTCCATTTCAGGTCAGATCCCAATGGGCCTCCAGCAGGCTCCAGGGCCTATTCCAAAGCTCTAAGGACAGCATTTCGCCCTTGAGGGGCTGTGCACAGAGGCTGCTCCAGATGCATCACCCACCTGGGCAGGTGGGACTTTTTATGCCAACACTTACTGTGGCATTGCTCTGTGCCAGGTGCTATGTTAAGGGCTATGTTCAGGTGCCATGTTAAGGGCTTAACAAGTCATCAGAGTCTTCACCATGAGCTCTACTTATAGCTGAGGAAACTGAAGCTTAAGGAGGTGGTGGAGCTACTAAGGGGGAGAGTGGGGATGTGAGTCTAAGCAGTCTAATCTGAGCTGGCACTTCTAGCCTCTAAATGACACTGCTTATCAGTAGTACCTGTGCTGAACATATTATGAATGAAATACACATTTACTATAAGCAAATGTGGCACAGTGCTCACCAGTAGTACAGACATCGCATATAAGTAAACAAATAGCACACATGCATATTCAAGTCTTTTAAACTGATGGGTGTATGATCAAAAAAGTTTGAGATAAGCTTTCCAATGTGTAGCCACTAGCCCTTAGCTCACTATTTAAACTTAAACTAATGTAAATGAAATGTTCAGTTCCTCAGTCACAGCAGCCATATTTTATTTCAAGTCCTCAAGTGGTCAGTTCTACTGCGCTGCACCAAGCAGGCAGAGGATAGTTCCATCAACAGAGGAAGTTCTATTGGAAAGTGCTGGTCTAGAATCCGTAAAACTATGTCTTGGCAGCTACCTGACTGTCCATGTTCCCCGACCTACAATCACCTCCCAGCCTAGGAATGAGCCAGCAAGTTGAGTTTTAGGAGTTAAACGAACAGTCTAAGACCTAATAGCTGACAAAGAGCACGCTGGCCTGTTCTCCCTGCTGGTGGAACTCAGTACAATGGGAGAGGTGTGAGGAGATGTTGGTCTTTACTGCCACAGGGGGTTAAGGCCCTTGAACCCACCTAAGCTCTTGCTGCCCTGTCTGAAGCCCCAAAAGGCCAGCCCTTGTAAGAAAAGAAACTTAGCGCAGCCACAAAACCTAAGAGCTCCACAAGCAAGAGAATGTCATCTAGAACACACTTCCAGTAACATTCTATAAAACAAAACTTTATTTTCCACAGATCAAGAAGACTTGAAGCTGCCTGAACTTTGGTGAGGATGGGAGTTTCTGAGCGGTGCACGGGCTGTGTGCCCGCAAGTTCTGACCATGGAAGAGTTGGCTTCCCTCAAGCCCAGAAAGGAAAGTGACATGCAATCTTGTTGTTTTCTTGGGAGCATGGGTCTTTTTCCTTTTTACCTAATTAGATAGAAGTTCAGGATTTCTATTTCTTTTGGGTTGATGAAATACAGGCTAGCATGAGTCCACTGTCAATAAATGTTTGCTGTGGTCAGACCTCCATGAAAGAGATTTTCCCCATGTTCAGAAGTACCCTGAAGCTTAGGTTTTTAGAGAATACTGTTGAATCACTAGGCAGGGCTCACATAGGAAACTGGCAATCACCTCTGAAACTGCCTCACAGACACCTGCTTTTTCTGCTCTGTTCCTCAGACCTCTCCTCTTCAAGTATATTCCCCCCACAAGGACAACAGCTTAGAGTACGTATCTGACTGATGATGTCATAAAAAGATTAGGCATGGGGGTTTCCCAAGCCACAATTCAGGGCCACTCTGCACCAACAGAGATAAGCACCCAGGTGGGAGCCCCCCTTCCCCGAGCCTCATACATTGTCATCATCCTCTATGGCCTCCCCAGTGAAGTACAGCACAGCCCGCGGGACTATCCGCTCACGGAAAAAGTGTCCAATTTCAAAATCAGAGGCTAATGTGAATTCAGAATCTTCATCCTGAGGAGGAAAAACCCACGTGTTAACTCATTTTAATGGGATAAAAACATTCGCTTCACCACCCTTAGCTAAACCTCAGCCCCTCACTTATGATTTACTTGACTTAAAACACCAAACTCCTGCACTGCTGGGGGACAGCCACTAGATACTCAAAGCCCTTTTAAAACAACTTCAAGTAGCTTTAAAGAGCTACTGAAGCAAAATGGCAGAGCAAGTGGGAATTGAGGGCCTCACAGCTCCATCACTTGTCCAAAGGTCTCACTCAGAGTAGGGGGTATCAGAGTCTCACACATGGGGAACGGGCAGTATTAAAGCACTACACGTTTGCTACTGAAACCAACATATGAAACACGTACTTTTACTTTTCTATCACCCAGGTTGGAGTGCAGTGGTGCAATCACAGCTCACTATAGCCTCAAGCTCCTGGGCCCCAGTGACCCTGGAACTACACAGTGCACTACCATGTCCAGCTAATTTATTATTTTATCTTTTGAGACGGAGTCTCCCTCTGTCGCCCGATGGAATACAGTGGTGCGATCTCAGCTCACTGCAACCTCCTCCTCTCGGGTTTAAGTGATTCTCCTGCTTCAGCCTCCCAAGTAGCTGAGATTACAGGCACTGCCAACATGTCCAGCTAATTTTTTGTGTGTGTGTGTGTGTGTGTGTGTGTGTGTGTGTGTGTGTGTGTGTATTTCAAGCAGAAACGGGGTTTCACCATGTTGGCCAGACTGGTTTGAACTCCTGACCTCTAGTGATCCACCCACCTTGGCCTCCCAAAATGCTGGGATTACAGGCGTGAGTCACTGTGTTCGGCCAGTTAATTTATTTGATTTTAATTTTTTGTAGAGATGGGGCTGTGCTATGTTGCCCAGGCTGGTCTCAAACTCCTGGACTCACACAGTCCTTCCACCTCAGCCTCCCAAAGCATTAAGATTACAGGCATACGCAGTCCATACACAGCCAGGACTGGACTTTTTTAAACAAGCAGACAAGTAGACATTCACTCAGGAGAGACTTCAACAGCAAAATCAGACTATTAACAACAAATCTTACCAGTGATTCTCCATCCCCGGATGCTAGGAAAAAAAAAAAAGACAAAACATATTTAAGTTACAGTGACAAGTCCCAGAATTTTAAAGCCCACAGAGGAGGAAGTTGTGCTGGTAGACAAAATGTAACATTTTTCACCTTGAGGTTTAAACTAGAAATCCCCAAAGCCTTGCATCTCCTGACAGACATCGTCGCAAGCTCCATCCACCACTTCTGAAGCTGGCCTGAGTGCCTCTATGCCCCCCTCCCCTCTCCTCCATCACGTGCCATGGGCTGGCACTCAAGCTTGAGAAAATCATTTTGAGAGGGTTAATATATTAACAGGAGGAAAGGCAAACAGCCCCTAGGCTATGGCCATGTGGCCATTCAGTGCATTTGTGCTTTATGGGGAAATTTAACTCATGTCCTGCAGAACTATACATGATGGTGCAGGAGAGAAAAAGAAAGTCCTTAAGCCTTATAAGCTGTGAGTGTTACTAAGGCACTGCATCTCAGCGAGGCAGAAACTGCATTTCTAACTGTTTGGAGAGTGCTGAAATGCCCACCAGTGCCCCCTGTAGAGTGGCGCAGCTCCTCAGTGAAAGCTGATGCTTAGATGACCTAAGCACACCAAGACAGACAGGGACTTCTAACCACACTCAATGAAGCCATGCAACATTCAAATGGTACACGATCCAACCCCCTGATTTTAGAGACATTTACTACAAGACCCTGACCTTCATCAGGAGTTGAATGTTTACTCTGCTTAGTCTCATACCTGCCTTTTCAATCTTCACTGGGCTCTTCTGAGTCTCTCTTCCCATTAAGCGACCACAACCCTGGCAGCACTTGCTGTTTGCTGCTGACACATGAGCGTTGGGTGTGTAAACACCACCCATGAGCAAGGCAGAGCTCCCAAGCCTCGGTGTGCCAGCATCACCCGGGGGTTTAAGACATGGGTTAGGGGCATGGCTGGGTGTCTAAACGATGGAGCAGCATGCTCCCCAGGGCACTCTGGCCGGGGTCATGAATCAGCACAAGGATTCTCAGCACTCATACTTCTGGACTGGCTTTGTAGCTTTAAGGACAAAGACGGAGCTGGACTCACTAGCTAATGCCTCCTTCACTTCATACCACAGGAGTTCATTTTGTCTGTTCCTTCACTACCCCATTACCTACTCCCTACCCATCCTCAATTTTTTTCATAGCACTTACCATATGGTATTATGTGTTTGATTACTTTAAAAGTGGCTTTATTGATGGGATTGTATACCACAAAAGGCATACACTCTAAATGTACAACTTTATGACTTTCAGTGTGTTAACTTTAGAGTTGTGCAACTATACCATAAAAGTTTTAGAACCTACAGTAAAAAAAAACCCTTAAAAATTCCCTTGAGTCCACTTTCAACTCCATTTTTATCCTAAAAATTATTATTATTATTATTTTTTGAGGCGGAGTCTTGCTCTGTCTCCCAGGCTAGAGTGCAGTGGCACAATCTCGGCTCACAGCAAGTTCTGCCCCCTGGGTTCACGCCATTCCCCTGCCTCAGCCTCCCCAGTAGCTGGGACTACAGGTGCCCACCACCACGCCTGGCTGATTTTTTGTATTTTTAGTAGAGACGGGGTTTCACCATGTTAGCCAGGATGGTCTCAATCTCCTGACCTCGTGATCCACCCACCTCGGCCTCCCAAAGTGCTGGGATTACAGGCGTGAGCCACCTCGCCCAACAAAAAATTATTTTTAAATCAGTTTTAAGAAAACTTCCTACAAAAAGTCAGTGATTCCAGAAAGTAAAGCCCCCTGCTTCACGGTGAATTCACAATCTCCAATATGCCCAACCCAAATGTCTAAAAGGAATCTTGTAAAAGAAAATGAAATGTAATATCTAATTTTATGACTGCTCTCATTCCCCAAACCATATATATTTGTATCTTCTATATTCAAAGTCTAACTGCAGAAAATAGGCACCACAATTAAAATAACGAACTGAACTCTGAAGGGTAGCTTGACAAACAAGGGTGCTAAGCTCAGAAACAAAATCAAAAAAACACTCAGATTGGAGAAGAGAGCTGCCCTGTGGCCCCACATACAAACACTAACTGATTATCTGCAGCAGGGGATGGCATCTCTTCACTTCAAATTATGTTTTTGTTCATGGAAACTAAAGAGAATATGGATATTTTAACACTGACAAGTAGTTTGAACTTCACATTCTCTCATGATTAGGAAATTATATGAAAAATCCCAAGTAATTTACTCTCAAAATCAACTGGTCAATCTTTACTAGTTCAAAGGTCTCATCTTTATTTTACCACTTAGGAAAATTTAAATAAATAAATAAATAAATAAATAAATAAATAAATAAATGGAAGCAGCTTCCAAGCTGTGATTCTGCCAATGTTTTTCAAAACTGAAAGTCCCAACTACTTGTTTCTCACAATATATAAATTCCAAAAACTTCTATCAAACTGTGCATAAAATAAAATTACGAGAAAAGGGGTTGACTAAGCAGATGATCCAAAAGCGGCACAACTAGAACCAGCGTACAGCAGTAACGGGTACCTGGAGAGCAAACTCAGCAGCTCTCCGAGGCTGGGAGTGGTCTCTGGGGGGTGCAAAACAGACACAACAGAGGGGCAGAAATGCCAACTGGTGGAGAAGGGTGCTTCAGGTGAGGAAGCAGCCCAGGTGCAAACACTCTATTCAGTTTTATTAAAACAGAACTGCAAGTTTTTGCCTGGGCTGCAGCCAAGCAGAGCAAAGCTCTTCTGTTTCCTGCAGAAGATGACAATCATACTCTTACTGTCCTAGCTACCTCTGCCCGCCACAATAAACTTGCCAGCGCACCAACAGAACAGCCTGGGACACAGCAATGTGCCCCTACTGACCACACTTGCCTGAAAGAACAGGACTAAAGTCTCTGGGTGTTAGGAATCTATCAGGTGACCAAAATTATTTTATACAAGTACATAATGAATATTAACCACCAACAGACTTGCCTTTCAGTGGATTGAAGAAGTTGAAAAAGGACTCATTGGGTACTTGTTTCGTAATTGTTCTAACAGTGCCTCGACCCTTATGCTTCTGCTTTTTCTTGATGGTTTTGACAGTAACATTCTTTCCTTTCTTCCAGTCAATGGTACACCTACCAGGACAAGACAGCTGTCATGAACACACAATCCATGAGAAAAATCCATTACAAATGCAGGCAGGAAGCAAACCACAGCTCTATGCCAAACCTGGAAAACTAAATAAAACCAATCTGCAAACCAAATACAATGGCCCATGAAGTTCATCTGGAGGTTGGCAAAAGAGAAATGGCCTGGTCCTCTTTCAACTTGGGTGTGACCACTGCCTCAAACTTCAGACTTCTGGAACAATGGTATTATTTTCCCAAGACATTTCATCAGGACTCTGAAATGTGTATTCTGTGGCAAAGCCCTTGTGTCAGGTCTGCATGATGCACAAGAACTTGTCCTCGGCTTCCCAAGGAAGCAGGAGTTGCTGCTGCTGTTCAAGGCAGCCAAGTGAGCAGAACAAGCTGAAAAAAGGAAATAGGTGGCCACTGGGAATCTTGACGGCCAGTGCAGACCACTCCAGCCCCAGGGAGGCTGGCAAGGGCTGAGCACAGCACGCTCTCTTAACACACAATCACCATGGACCCAGGAAACACCTGGCAGATCTCAATACTGCCCGCTTAAGAACATGCTTGGAAAGGCCAGGCCTTTTTCTCACACGATGGCCTGGCCCTGGAAAATCATTTTTCTAAATTACTCCAGCAGGATTTCAATAAAGTCCTGAATTAACAATTAGTACTTAGTTCTGGTAAATAAACTTAATTGTTTCAAGTCAAGACTAAAACCATTTCTCAGTCAATCCAACCTGGAGAAATTAATTCTAAACCAAATTCTCTCTTTAGTGATTTATAAAGCCTGAAATCAGTGAGTCAAACAACAGCTATGCTGCCCCCACCTATCTCCAAAGCAATGAGCTGACAGCCTTGGACTCAGACTCATTCATTCAATAAGTATTTATTTGCTGAGGGTAATCCATGAATTCAATTTTAAGAACTTCAATTCATGATGTCTAGAGAACCCAATACTTTCATTAAAATGAAGAAACCGAGCACTATCCCAAAGGCTTGCACGTGCAACCATGTGACTCATTTCCCAGGTTCAGCCACCATCTCCAAGTCCTGCACTACAAGCATTCCCAAACTGAAAGACTATTGAAATATCCATCTACCAGGCTTTTAAGCAGACTCAAGACTGTACTTTACTCCTTACCTCTATCTTACCCATCAAGTTACAAAATTATCTCTTGATTTTGTTTCAGAAAAACAAGGTAGAATGACATTTTCTTACCCGTCACAGTCCACAATCTCAGGACCTTCAAAGGAAAAGGGATCAGCCTTATCTGGTTCTGATTTCATCTTGTAGGTTTTTGTCAGGACTGAGTTGGTAAAGTAGTCGTTGGGTTCAAAGTGGAACTCTAACACAAAAGACTAAAAGCAGAAACTCAGAGTAAGCACCAGTTAAAATCGAAAAATAACGAGGACAGATTGCTTGGAGTACACAACACTGACTAGAAGCTATTTTGGGAAAGCTCAACAGATAGGGCCATGGAACGAGAAAAACTTCTCCATTGCAAAAAAGGCCAGCATGAAGTTAAAAAAAACAAATGATGGACTGGAGGGAAATACCTATTCAGTTCATGAGTAGGGGCATGTCCCGCTCCAACGCCTCCTCACCAATAGGGGTCAAGCTCTCCTAAAGAATCCTAGCTTCTCTTAGCTGCTCCCAACCCTTGCTTCCTGGAAGGAGGGAAGGTGACTAGGGGAAAGTAGGGGCACCAGCAGTCCATCCTCCTCCTCTCCTTTTCCGCTCAGCCTAAGCCCCAGCCCCCAACCTGCTGGGAGAAGCCAGGGTCCGTATTCTGTGCTGTGCAGTAAAAGCAGTGACCCACAGCTTTTCTCCCGGGAGGTGGGTGGGAGAAAAGGACAAATCTCTACAAGAAAGCATGCTTACAAAGCATGCTACAGACCTGGAAGAGAGGTAAGCACACCGGGAAAAACGATGCAAACACGAATGCAGGCATAGGTAACATCCAACAGCAGCAACAAGGCATTTATGCTCACAAGTAACAAAACACAAGAACACCAAAATGAGATGCCTTTCTTTGGGTCAAAATGTATAAAAATATGTAGACCCAGCCAGGATTTTGGGGTACTGGGCACACTCATGTACTGTCAACAGATTTTATGAAGGACAGTTTGGCAATATCAAAAAAATAATAAAATAAAAAGGCATATTCCCTGACTCAATAATTCCATTTTGAGGAATTTCTTCAATTTGAGAAAAATACCTGGATGATGCATTGGAATGTGCAAAGACATTTTACCTCATCCCTATTTATAAAAGAAAAACTTGGAAGATGAAAAAAAAACTTGGTCGAGTAATTTATAGACAGTTTACAAGACCAATTCTGCGCTCAGACAGCCTGGGTTCAAATCCCATCTCTGCCTTCAGTGCTGGGCAATTCGCAGAAGCTACTCAATGTCTCCGTGCTCTGCTTTCCTCCATTGCCAAGGCCAATGGAGAGCTCCTAGCCAGATCCTGCTGTCATCCCTTCTAGAAACTGGAAATAACTCTCTCCCTCTCTAGGAGCTGCCTTGACAGTTAATCTAGACGACTTAGAACAGAGCCGGGTTTATGGACAACGCTGGTTAAACGTTAGCTGTTTCCATTTTCATTGTAATGGTAAAACCATCAATGGAGGGGAAATTAAGAGGACTAAAAAAAAAAAAAAAAATACAGTAATAATTTCCTCAAAAAAAGTTTATACATTCAAACAAATCACTTGCACAAAGGAGAACTGAAAAAGTAACTTCCAAAGAAAGGTGGAGGAGGAGAGGGGGGCCATGAGGGCTTAGGAAGTCAGGATCAGGGAGACAGTCTAGTTGGTTTCTAGAAGCGATGACAGCAGGACCTGGCTAGGAGCTCTCCACTGGCCTTGGCAAGAGCAAAGGAAGCGGGTAGGGCACTGCAGATGAACCACACAAAGGAAAGGCCAGTCACTTGCCTGGTAAGTCACAAGGAAAGGAAGAGGCAGCTACAGGGAATCAGCATCAAATAAAATGCCAATTTCTCTCCCAACCCTCCAGGGCTTAAAAAAAACAACAACAACATAAAGAGGGAAGGCAAGCAGCCAACCAATGGAGAGACTGCTGTGATCCCAGAACCGTTTAAGGCTGTGACCACAGTGTGGACAACCAACGCAGGGCATGGGATGACCCCAATAATACAAATAGTATTATTAGACTTGTGGTCCTTCACCATGTCCTACTCATTTTTTCCCCTCCTTTTTACTTTCTCTTTTAAAGACCAGTTCTCTCTCTGTTGCCCAGGCTGGTCTCGAACTCCCAGGCTCAAGCAATCCTCCACTTTGGCCTCCTAAAGTGCTGGGATTACAGGCATGAGCTACCACACCCAGCCTACTTTTCTATAGACAGATTCATATTTCTTCCTATTTTCCTTTTTTCTCTCCCCTCTGACTTTGTTCAGTCAAGAGTAACCCAAAGACAACTGAAGATGATTCAAGAAAGTGTTTTAACTGCCCAAATGAAAAGTGGCTTGAAGATAAGACTGCTTAATTCACACAGGCACTACAGTCAGGCAAGCCACAAATATGCTAACTATGCTCAATCTTACAAGCAACTAAAGAAATGTAAAATTAGGCAGGGCCTAAGTGGCTCATGCCTGTAATCCCAACTGAACGACCTTTGGGCCTTCTAAAGCTTCATCTTCTTTCACTCAGTAAGTACACTGAAAGGAATCTAAACTAAATAAATTAACAAACATTTAATTTAACACAAATTTGGGTTCAAGTATGCTGATCATAATGCAACAATTTACAATGGGGGAGGTGGTGCATGCAGCAGAATGTTAAAACATTTTATAGCCAATGGCGGCAGTAACAACTATTCCCCCAGCCAAGCCTGTGTGATGTGACAGCAGGGTGACACTGTGCACACACCATGTGGTGTGGCAGAAGCCATGTGGCACACGTGTGCACTGTGTGTCCAGGTGGGCAAGTGCTCAAGGGAAGGGAATGAGGCATCGTGGGGAGCTGCAAAAACACCAGCCAAGACTCATTTTGAAGTTTTATTTCTCTTTATAACTTAAAATGCCTCAGACGCTTCATAATAATTTTACAAAGGAAAAAGAGTATGGGGAAACTCACTAAGCTGCTGATATTTACTTATAGAAGACAGATTTGTACGGTGTTCTTTACACTTGCCCGTATTTTCTACATATGACTTTTATAATAGGGAAGTAAAAAGAAAAAAAGATTACTGGTCCACAGTCTACCACAACCAGAGCTCTAGTCTATGAGTCACCATGAGATGGAGGAAAATAAGACGACAGGCTAAGAAAGAAAGAAAATTGACCTAGGAAATCATCCAACAGGTGTCCAATAAGAAAAAAGAGGCTGGGTGTGGTGGCTCACACCTGTAATCCCAGCATTTGGGAGGCTGAGGTGAGCAGATCACAAGGTCAAGAGATTGAGACCATCCTTGCCAACGTGGTAAAATCCCGTCTCTACTAAAAACACAAAAATCAGCTGGGCGTGGTGGCGCACACCTGTAATCCCAGCTACTCGGGAGGCTGAGGCAGGAAAATAGCTTGAACTCGGGGAGGCGGAAGTTGCAGTGAGCCGAGATCATAGCACTGTACTCCAGGATGGCGACAGAGTGAGACTCTGTCTCAAAAAATAGTAATAATAAAAAGAAAAGAAAAGAAAGGAGAAAAAAAGGAACTAACCCAAAGGAGAAAAAAAGTTAATTGAGTCTGGATGAATTAAGTACAAGGAAAGCACACACAGAACCTTAAAGCACCACACACTCACACCATGGGGAAGAGAATGCACACCATAAGGGCAAACTAGGCAGACGTGCCCAGGCGGCTCCCAGGGGCCCTGTGATAAAGTCTAAACAGAAGAGATGCAAGCCCAGGAAGAAGGACCTGCTATGACCCACATGGGACAGGGAAGATGGGGTGTCCCCTCTGGAAGCAGCCCCTAACTGGTGAGCAGGCATCACTCCTGACTCCCAGTGCCCCACCTGGAGAGAGACACCCGAATGTCACCTTCCATAGTGGAAAACAGACAGGAAAAAGTAGAAGGGACAGATACAGGTGGATCCACTGCCTGCCCCTGCTGCTGCCCCAGGCATTACTTGCAGCACTTGCAGTGAAGAAATTCTACTCCTAGTGGCCCCTGTCCATTAGCCCGGGCCCCAATACTGAAGAAATCCCACTCCTAGCGGCCCTCATCCATTAGCCTGGGCCCCAGTGCTGAGATGGGGAGGAAGGAAGACACTGGTGACTGGTCCCAGGTCCCGACCACCATCACCCACCCGCAAGATCCCTAACCCACAGCCTGTCATGCAGCATTTGTCTCCAAGACCTGAAACTGAAAGCCACCAGTCAGTCAGTCATGTGTCGCTGGAAATGCTATTGCACCGGAATGGAACCCATTAGCTATAGCCAGGCGAACAGGTTAACGAACAGTGCTCCCTGGAGAACCAGGCTAGGATGAGACAGCCTGGGGAGGCTATCTGAAGATGAGCATGTTTCCTCAGATAAAAGTAAGGGCTGACCTAGTCAAGCTTGTCTTACCAACTGGCAGGCTGATCCATGCCACTAACATTACTACTGCAATGATACACCAAAGCAAGTATATTGGAAAGATTTGTTTCAGGACAACTCAAAGAGCAGGAAAACATTTTTCAGTCTTTGTGCTTTTTTTTTTAGGGTAAAACCTGGTAGGTTCAGATTTCCGAATAAGTGCTGTTCATATGTATACATAGCTCCCATCTTTTTAAACGTTAAAAATATACATTAGATGCATGCAAACTTGAGAGACACTTGGGAAAAGAACAGTATCATCTCCAACCAACCAAGTAAACAAACAAACTACAAGACTGAGGGCGGGCACAGTGGACAGCACCACCACAGCCCAGGAGTTGCAGTCTGACTCCTGCGTTGGTGCCCACCTGGCTGTAGGGTCTGGAACATCACACGGTCGGCATCACTGTCAAATCATCCAGCACAGTCTCACGACTACAGTGCCAAGCATGAGACAGAAAGGCAATGGGATCCCCGTCTAACTCTCAGGGAGCAAAGAGACAATGCGGTACTCAGTCTAACTGTTGGAGAGCTGTCTTGCCCAGGGCTGCCCAGCAGATGAGTGGCTAAGTGTGGGTTTTGCGGGTTTCTTGTCCCGGCTCCAAGTTTTTCCATCTTTGTGGACTGACTCTGATGCCAGGTCAAGTCAGTACTCACCATAGGCTGTCCAGGGTCAGAAAACTTCACTTTAATATCCTGCAGGTGTTTCAAGATTGGTTCATCATATTCCTAATCAAAAAGAGAAAAAAAATTCCAATCGGCTTTTAAAAAACAGCACATCTCTCCCCAAGCATCGTGGCTGCATGGGCTCCCAGATGCTGCATAACTAGCCCTACTGGAATTCTGTCCTTGTCAAGTAATAACTCCCAGGAAGAAACCCAAACTTATTCACCAACTCCCTGTCATTGAGAAGCAGCACCAAGGTGTCCCCTTTCCCTAGTATGGAGCAATGGTGGGTGTCACTGACAGCGAAGGGCTGACACCCGCCTGCCTGCAATACTGGGGCAAGGGCCTTCACTGCTTTCCTGCCACCAGCTGCCACTGCACACAGAGATCAGAAATGCTACCAACCAAGACTGTTGAGGAGACAGAGCAGAAGCCTGGAAGTCAGAAGAGAAGGCTAGATCAGCTACAGCTGTGGCAACCAGCTTCCCCACCTGTGGCAATAAAGTTGTGCACGCCTTAACAATGGGGGCACCTCCTGAGAAACACACCGTTAGGCAATTCGGCGTGCGATCATCAGAGCATACTTACACAAATCTAGACACTGCAGCCTACTATCCACTATTGCTCCTGCACTACAAACCTGTACAGCTTGTGACTGTACTGAATACTGGAAGCAGCTAGTGATGGTAATTATTTGTGTATCTAAACACAGAGAACGTACAGTAAGAATACGGCATCATAATCTTACAGGACCGCCATCCCATATGCTGTCTGTTGTGACCAAAATGTGTAATGTGGCTCATTACTCACTATACATACGGTCACTTATTTTTTTTTTTTGAGACAGTCTCGCTCTGTCGCCCAGGCTGGAGTGCTATGGTGCAATCTCAGCTCACTGCAAGCACCGCCTCCCAGGTTCATGCCATTCTCCTGCCTCAGCATCCCGAGTAGCTGGGACTACAGGTGCCCGCCACCACGCCCGGCTAATTTTTTGTATTTTTAGTAGAGATGAGGTTTCACCGTGTTAGCCAGGATGGTCTCCATCTCCTGACCTCGTGATCCACCCACCTCGGCCTCCCAAAGTGCTGGGATTACCGGCATGAGCCATCGCGCCCAGCCACACGCGGTAACTTCTTTAAGGACAGTTATACAGAGCGTGTCTCAGATCTAACTTGTAGGCACCATGGAAGAGTGTACAATTCTTATCAGTCTGTATCATTTTACAAGTGGTATTTCTTTAAACTCAGAGTTTGCTGATACCTGTCAGCTTAGAAGGTTCAAGTGAGGAAAGTCAGAAGAGGAATGGAAAGACCTGAATCCTCATAAACACGCACTGGCAGCAGGTGCTTTGTTTGTAACATTACAGTCGCTTCTTTACCCCCGAAGTCTGGGCACTGAACCTCAAAATGTCTTGAAGTTCCATTAAGTTTTTCTTAAATCATTTTTTCCCTTTTTTAGTTCTATGTAACAACTGTACTAATTTATGGGACACAGTGACATTTTGATGCACATATACAATGTGTAATAAATCAGGACCATCACCTCATTTATTTTTGAACATTCAAAACCCATCCTCTAGCTTTCTGAAAATACACACTAAATTATCGTTAGCCACATTCACCCTACAGTGCTACAAAACACCAGAACTTACTCCTCCAATCTAGCGCTGACTCTGTGTCCAACAACGGGCCTGTCCCTGTTTATTCTCCCCTCTCTCTCCCTCTAAGCCTTTAACAACTCTGCTTCGGAGCTGTTTTTGTAGCTCCCACATGAGTGTGAACATGAGGTGTTTCCCTTTCTGTGCCTGACTTTCCATTAAGTGAGTCTTAATTTTCAACTCTTTTGACATTATAGAAAAAACAAAAACAGTGACAAAAAGATACCTGCAAGTATTTAGACAAAAAGTAACCCAAAGGCAGTTGTAAAATGGGCCACACCTGCATGCGATGTTCAGTCTCCAACACTGCGCGTGCCACCCATGGAGGCATGCACTGGCTCTTGATCACCAAGATGAACACCTTCACCAGCATGCTTTCCAGAGATGGCACTGGGAACTTCAAACTCATCCCACTCAAAGACGCAGTGCCCACTGATGTTTTCCCAAACTTCATAAAATAACCATTACGTTCTAATTTCCTCAAGCAGCCACGTACCCTGTGGGTCAAAGTTTAAATGTCCAGGGCAGATATAAGGCAATGTCCCACACCGGCAGACACTCAAGACTCAGGAAGCAAAGACACAAACAACACTGGAAGCATCACACTCAGATCATAAAGCCACCATCTCAAATTTTCCACTCTACTTGAAGGAATATATTTCAACTATCCCCAAATTTAGAACAAAGGGATTCAGAGTTAATCCAACTTTGGAATTTAATATTTGACCAAAATGAGCTGGGCACAGTGGCACACACCTGCAGTCCCAGCTACTTGGGAGGACCACTTGAGGCTAAGAGACTGAGACAGCAGTGCACTGACTGTGCCTATGAAAAGCCACTGACCTCTAGGCTGGGTATCATAGCAAGACCATGTCCCTTAAAAAGGAAAAGGATTCTCTCAGAAATGGCAGACTCCAACACCAGACATTAAAACATAATTGTTGGCCAGGCGCGGTGGCTCACGCCTGTAATCCCAGCACTTTGGGAGGCTGAGGCAGACGGGATCATGAGGTCAGGAGATCGAGACCATCCTGGCTAACATGGTGAAACCTCGTCTCTACTAAAAATACAAAAAATTAGCCAGGCATGGTGGCGGGTACCTGTAGTCCCAGATACTCGGGAGGCTGAGGCAGGAGAATGGCGTGAACCCGGAAGGCGGAGCTTGCAGTGAGCAGAGAACATGCCACTGCACTCCAGCCTGGGCAACAGAGCGAGACTCCGTAAAAAAAAAAAAAAATTTGTTAAAAAATCAAAATAGAACATACTACCGTTACCTGCTATGAGGTTACAAACAGTACAAATAACATTTCCTCATTCTCTGCGTATTAAATGAGTACTCTATCAACCCCTGCATATCTTTTTAAAGCTTTTAAAACAAAAAGCAACAAGACACTTCTTGGCTGAAATGCTGAAGCACTGACACTAATACAGAGGTGCTGGGAGAATGAGAAGGGACACCCCATTAAAATGTGGCCAAATGCCTCACTGTGCTCTCAAAACCCAAGGCAGCGCTATCCATGGCCAGTGACCCCAATGCCATAACCAGGTGGCCACATGCACAGAAGGGGGCACCAAAACTCACTCAAGTCACCTAACTCTTGCTCCCAAACCCTGTTATCACTGCTCCCCCAATCCCACGTGAAGATGCTCCAGCCCTGCAGCATGAGCATCACCCTGGGGCCCATGAGACAGGCAGCCCCACAGAACCAGAATCTGCACTGCCATGGCCACTCCCCATTCCCCCCGAAGTCTGAGAAGAACTAACCTAAGATCTAGTCTTTCCACCTGCTCCCTACCATGGGGATTTTCAACTCTCAGCATGCATATCAGAGTTCCTAAAACCACCTCAAAACTCTCAGTGCCGTGGTGACAGATGAGGCATTCGGTTTTTGCTATTTAGTTTTTAAAGCTGCTCAGGTGATTGTAATACACAGTCAGGGTGAGACTATGGCTCTGGTACACATTACTTAATTTTTCCAATGAAATTCTGGTGCATGGCATTCTTTTAAAAGTAAGGTCTACTCTTCGTAAATTCCACCTTTTCATATAAAAAGGAAGCTCAGATCAGGAAAAACCAAGGCTGTTCTATTTTAGATGCTTTCTGCTCTGGAAGGAGAATAAGAAATACATCATTCTTTCCATCTTGAATTCTCAAGTTTTGGCTTAGGACACAGGATAAGCATGAAACAAGGGAGGTAGCAGAGGCAGCAATGTGATACATTTGTGAAAACCATTAAAAAATGTAGCTGTAAAATCCTGCGCAAATTACAATACAGCAGTTTGTAAAGGACAACAGACAGTGGCTATGCTCTGTGATGGGAGAAGCACTCTGCCCACACAAGCAGAGCCTGGAGCTGTCCTGAGCAAGTGTGAATGTAGATGTACTGTTTCTGGGGACTCTGGAGCAATAAAAACTGACAGCAAGTCAGTCAGTGAGACTTAAGGCAAGATTTGTTTCTGTGTTGTAGAAACTTCTATCATAACTAATTTCAGGGAAAACCAAATTTGTCACCTTTTAATTTGTTCACCATTTCACTGTAGAAAGTAAAATGTCAAGGCAAGACAAAATCAGAAATGTTGGTTGGTTTTGTTTTTTTTTTCTGAGACAGGGTCTCACTCTGTCACCCACCAGGATGAAGTGTAGCGCCATGATCATGGCTTACCACAGCCTCGACCTCCTGGGCTCAGGTGATCCTCCTGCCTCAGCCTCCCAAGTACCTGGGACCACAGGTGCACAACACAATGCCCAGCTAACTTCTGTATTTTTTGTAGAGATGGGATTTCGCCATGCTGCCCAGGCTGGTCTTAAATAATCTGCCTACCTCAGCCTCCCAAAGTGCTGGGGCCACAGACATGAGCTACCATGCCTGGCCTTCTTTTTTTTAAAATAGACACTTTTCAAGAGAAATGATCAGAAAATATTAGCAACTTGTTCAAAAATTCACTGGGATGTGTCTGTGTATACACACACACAGAACTTATCCCTTCAAAATTCATTCTCCTACTCTGGTCTCCCGCCCTCACCCTTTCCTGCGCACTCACACCACAGTAAGACACAGATGTGCTCTTGAATCTATTCACAGGCGAGACAACAGACATTTACAGGAGGTAAAAGGAATTGATTTGAAAGTTTTGGATCAGGCTGAGCTGCCCGGCTTTCCACCAAGAACTGCAAAAGACAGCATGGAAGCCCCACTGTGAATAAACCATTCACTGTGAGATCAGGATTGCTCACCTTAGGTCCTGGTCACAGAAAGTGCCCTTCCGCCCACTATGAACAACCTTTCAACGCCCAGTTTAGTGCTTAAAAAAATGCCATAGACAAGTAATGTTAGAAGACTACCACATAATCTCTCTAAAAGATAGAAATGTGCTTACCTGGACTAATTCACTTAGCATATCTACATTTCTAAAGATGGTAAACCAGAACTCTGGAATTCCTTTGGGATTTGGCTCTTCAGCTGTTGCTGCTTCCTTTTCTGTTATGACTACTTTATTTTTCATGTCTCCCTAAAAAAAATAAAGATGCAAAAAGATCGCAAAAAATACAAATTTAAAAATAACGCAGTGGCTTAATGTAGAGTACCATTTCCAAATCCTGTATTATCTCCGATCAAAAACCTTTCTTTCAGAGTCTGCATCTCCAAACCATTCACTGTGCAATGCAACACTTCTCAGATGCTTCCAAGGGAAAAAAGCAGTCAAGGCATTATATCCACATGGAATTCCTTATGATTTCACATCAAAGGTGAAGAAACTGAAGAGATGACAAAGTGCCACCAACTCTGGGAAAGGTCATCCAGTGCTAACTCTGTGAGGTGCCATCCTGAGACAATCATCATCACAAATGCAGATGCAAAGACTGTACGTCAACCTTAAGGAAATGGAATGCAAATATGCAGAACATCTATCACTGGGAAAAAAAAGTCCAGTCCAAGGATCAGTAAGTTCACTTGGACTAATAATCTGACCTCTGGTTAAAATTTGTGGGGTAGGGGCAGTAAGTTGAAGTAAAAAAAAAAAAAAAAAAACATTTGCTGCAGCAGTATCTGCAGCAAGAAAGTGCTCAGCAACTTATCCAGCTTTAAGCAGGTGGCTATAAATGCTGGTTCATGGACACAACGCAAGCATCAGAAAGTGATCAGAAAGGGTACATGGTAAAGTGAAGGGGAGTCTTATAACATCAGGCCCCAGGGAAAAGGTAGACCAAGGGAGGTAAAACATAACACTAAATGGAACTATGGGAAATTCTGAATGCCTTGCCAAATGGGATTGTTATGATGAAATGATCTCGTAGGCCTTTTAAATTAGCGAAGGCAGATTTCCTTGAGCTGTTAGAAACTGATTCACAACTATATTAATCCACAGCCATGGCTTCAATTCGGCCAGGTTCTACATATTTTAAAAAGATCAAGGCCGGGCGCGGTGGCTCAAGCCTGTAATCCCAGCACTTTGGGAGGCCGAGATGGGTGGATCACGAGGTCAGGAGATCGAGACCATCCTGGCTAACATGGTGAAACCCCGTCTCTACTAAAAAAAAAAAAAAAAAAAAAAAAAGATCAAAAACACATAAGGCTACCAAAATTATCATATACCTTTAAAAAAAAAACAAAAAAACACCCATGCCAAAAGTTAGTTATAGGATAAAAGTTACTTGTCTCCCAAACATAAAATCAGGCTGACACTGGGAGTTTTCACAGCACTGGAATGGGACCAGTCACTAGAAAAAGGCTGTGAGCAGGTAACTGACGGCCATACCACAACCACCATACGCAACCAATCCGCTGGCTGAGCACCTGTCAGGGAGCACGCTAGTCCATGCCACTGAGCAGGAAGGCACTCCCCTCACAACTCCCCCAATATTCCAGTGACTGAGAACACAGGGGTATCTCTTCTTGATCTTTGCTTTCTCTGATGTTTTAATCTTTGTTGTCTGATCCCTTATTTCAATATGCTCCTGTCCACAGATAACTGACATGGCACTACATCTTACTCCTCCTATGAACTGACAGTGCTGTGCCAGATGCTAGATCGGTATCAGAAAGGAATCGAAACCTAACCTAATGATGCAGCAGCACCTACTGCTAGAAGCACGTAAGTTTACTAGTCATTAAAAATCATTTTAAAATGCTTATTTTTAATAGTATTAAAACAGAACATAAGTCACATTTTTCAAAAGACTTACAGCCAATTTCTCTTCCTCTTCATTTTCACTGTGCCATTCCGATTCCGCATCTGTTGGTTCAACATCACCGGTGATAAATTCTCTTCTCTACATGAAAATGAGACCTTATTAGAATTATGTTATTAGCTTACTTGGAAACTCAAGAGTTAAATTTATAAATAATGCCTACAAAAAGACTTTGAAAACTGGGTATTTTTATAACTTATTTTAAGATTCTAAATTTTAGGGTTCAAAGAAAAATATTAAATGATTTCCTGGGTAAATCTGGATATTTCACCTAAAGATCTAAAATAAAGGTGGTCCCTGATTTCCAATGGTTCAACTAAAGATTTTCAACTTCATGATGGTGCAGAAGCCATCACACTTTGGGTACCGATACAGCCACACTCTGTTCCACTCTCTGTGTAGTGTTCAGTACATTACATGAGATACTCAGCACTTTATTATAAAATAGGCTTTGTGGAAGATGATTTTGCCTGACTGCAGGCTCATGTAAGTGTTCTGAGCTTGTTTAAGGTAGTCTAGACTAAGCTATGTTTGGTAGCTTAGATGCGTTCTTACCCTAGATGTTGTCAACTTATAATGGGTTTATCACAACCTAACACCGTCGAAAGTTGAAGATTATCTGTATATTAAATTCGTTAACAGAGCTCCCTACCTTGTCAAAAAGAGGCTGGTATAGTGCTGCATACTTTCTTTCCAAGTCATGTACCTCTTCATAGAACTTGGCTTCTATGTGAGCACATCTCACCTGAAGTTGTTTCAATGCATTAATTCTTCTTTTTACTGCTTTAGGTAAACTAAAAAAAAGGAGTAAGAAATACAACATCCTCATGCCTGCAAAATAAGGCACCATGCTTTTCAATTTTATTAAAATAAATTTAGGTTAACATGGAATTAACATAATGAACAAGACCTCTTAAAAATTAAGAAAAGGACAAATACCCCAATAGGAAAAAAAGGATACAGGAGGCAGAAAAGATAATTCACAAAAGAAAAAACACAAATTGTCAAACATGAAGATTCAATCTCATAAAATATCCAAAAGAATGCAAACATTTAAGAATGCTCATCTTTTCCTTACCAAATTGGCAATTAAAAACCAAAACAAAACACCTAGGTTTTACGAGGCTAAGGGTCAAGAAGCCCTCTAACTGACTCATCTTTCTTAAGGGCAGAAAATACTGAAAATGTTCTTTGGACCCAGTAATTCCACTTCTAAGAATTTATCCTTAAGGCTGGGCGCAGTGGCTCATGCCTGTAATCCCACCACTTTGGGAGGCCAAGGTGGGAGGACTGCTTGAGGGCAGGACTACAAGACCAGCCTGAGCAATATAGCAAGACCCCTCACTACAAAAAATTTAAAAAATTAGCCAAGTGTGTGCCTGTAGTCTCAGCTACTCAGGAAGCTGAAGTGGGAGGATCACTTGAGTCTGGGAGGTCAAGGCGGCAGGGAGCTATGATTGTACTACTGCACTCCAGCTTGGGAAACAGAGCAAGACCCTATCTTACCAAAAGGAAAAAAAAATTTATCCTAATCAAGTATTTATGCTGGATTGTACATCGACAGATCTGTACAAGTGAAAAACTGGACAATGGAAGTTCAACGGTATTCAAACATGGCCTATTTATAATCACATTGTACAGGAATATTTAGTGCCACGTGGGAGTCCACACTTGTTAACACATTGGAGAAAAAATCTGAGAAACACAGACCACAGGCAACACAACTTTGTCCTTGAGAGTCAGGTCAACTATGAGTTTGCCTTTCAATCCTGTTCTATGTTTTAAAAAATATTTTAGTTTGTATGTATAACTTCTATAAATCAGAAGAAAAATCCCTGTTTTTAACCTATCAAAACTATTTGCTTAAAGCAAAGCCCCTGGTCATAATCATGTGGACTGAACAGCAGATTCCCGGCCTCATGATAGACCCAAATAATCTACCTGGGGCAGGGCCCTGGGTCCTGAATCTTAGACACCCATTCACACGATCAGAGTTCTCAAGTCTAAGCACTTGACTTATCCTCCAACAACACACAGCACAGAGCAGCAGGCAATTCACACACACATATCACTGGTCTGGGAGGTATTAGAACAACTGCCTTGCATCCCAAAGGACCACTCTCCTGGGTGAAATATAATCACAGTTACCTCAAGCTAAAGGTCCTTAGTTTAGACTCTCAAATAATGCTTAACATTCTAGAACTACTGCTAGTAGTAGATGAGAACAAGGGAAAAGCAAAAAGAATTTAACAAAATCATAGACTCCCACTGCCACTTGTACCTCTTTTCAGCACTGATCATTCATTCATTCATTCATTCATTTACTGTGATAGGATCTCACTCTGTTGCCCAGGCTGCAGTGCAGTGGTGCCATCTCGGCTCACTACAGCCTCAACTTTCTGGGCTCAAATGATCCTCCCACCTCAGCATTTCGAGTAGCTGGACTACAGGGGCACACAGCCATGCCCAGCTAGTTTTTTTGCATCCTGTAGAGATGGGGTTTGACCATGTTTCCCAGGCTGGTCTTGAACTTCTGGGCTCAAACGATCTGCCTGCCTTGGCCTCCCAAAGTGCTAGGATTACAGGTGTGAGCTACCACGCCTGGCTAACTATACAATTTTAAATTAGTTTAATTTTTGAAGCTTTCCAACTGAAGTAAAATGACAAAGGATGTCAAACAAACTGGACCCTAGTGTGCCCCTAGCAGTCCTTCAATCATTCATACCAACTACACCCAGCCATCTGTGGGCACTTTTCCTGCAATATGGCCAATATGGAACCACTTCTAGTATCACATAAACTTGTTCCCACTCAAGCAGTTTCTCTCACAGAATGCCACCCCACCAATCCAGTTTCTAAAGCGAGAAAACTAGAAACCATTACTCATTCTCAATTCTTGCCACTCCTACACAGTATCACTCCATCCCATCAATGTAGTCTGCAAAAAAAAAAAAATCAAAATCCCTGGCCCACTAAGTAATCCCCAAGAAGCTTCTAAATGGGCAAAGCAAACTCTAAATGTCCCCTTCTAGGCTGGGCGCTGTGGCTCATGCCTGTAATCCCAGCACTTTGGGGGGCCAAGGTGGGCAGATCACCCGAGGTCAGGAATTAGAGATCAGCCCGGCCAACATGGCGAAACCCTGTCTCTACTAAAAATACAAAAAAACACGTGCAGCAAATCTCCACGGCACATGTATACCTATGTAACAAACCTGCACGTTCAGCATATCTACCCCAGAACAATAAAAATACAAAAAATTAGCTGGGCGTGGTGGCGTGCACCTGTAATTCCAGCTACTCAGGAGACTGAGGCAGGAGAATCACTTGAAACTGGAAGGCGGAAGTTGCTGAGATCCCAAGTTACCGCACTCCAGCCTGGGTGACAGAGCGAGACTCTGTCTCAAAAAATAAAAATAAAAAATAAAGGTCCCCTTCTTGTCATAATAGTGGGGAAACCAGTTGGAAGGTGGGGCCTCCTGGGAGACCAAGCCTTGACTCGATTGTAGATGGAAGCCCAGTAACAGCTCATCCCTTTCAAAAAAAAAAAAACAATTTGCCAGGCGTGGTATGGTGGTACATGCTTATAGTTCCAGCTACTCTGAAGGCTGAGGTAGAAGGATTACTTGAGCTCAGAAGTTCAAGGTTACAATGAGCTATTACATGCCACTGCACTTCAGCCTGGGCAACAAAGTGAGACTCCAACTCAAAAACCAAAAATTCCTTCCAGAAGTAAGACAGGGAGGTCCTGACAAGAGCCATCCTAGGATTCTAGGATCACCATCCTTATCATTTTCATAGTGCAATACATCTAGGACATAAGACTCTCATAAGAAAGGAAAGGTGTCAAGCCGGGCGCGGTGGCTCAAGCCTGTAATCCCAGCACTTTGGGAGGCCGAGACGGGCGGATCACAAGGTCAGGAGATCGAGACCATCCTGGCTAATTCGGTGAAACCCCGTCTCTACTAAAAAATACAAAAAACTAGCCGGGCGAGGTGGCGGGCGCCTGTAGTCCCAGCTACTCGGGAGGCTGAGGCAGGAGAATGGCGTAAACCCGGGAGGCGGAGCTTGCAGTGAGCTGAAATCCGGCCACTGCACTCCAGCCTGGGCGACAGAGCGAGACTCCGTCTCAAAAAAAAAAAAAAAAAAAAAAAAAAAAAAAAAAGAAAGGAAAGGTGTCAACCAGGTGCAGTGGCTCACTCGTTATCCCAGCATTTTGGGAGGCTGAGGCGGGAGAACCAATTAAGCCCAGGAGTTCAAAACCAAAACCAGCCTGGGCAATATAGCAAGATTCCAACTTTTTTTTTTTTTTTTTTTTAAAAGACAGTCTCACTGTCACCCAGGCTGGAGGGCAGTGAAAACTCACAGGTATGTGGTACTATGCCCAGCTTTTTTTTTTTTTTTTTTTTTTTAAGGTGTTGGTGTCACGGGCTCATGTGGGTAAGTCAGGAAGGAGCGGTTCTCTTAGTTTAATGTAGGAGCCACCAGTTGTCCTCCTCAACTCGGCTGATCCGTGAAGTCCTCTAGCCCTCCACAGGATGGCACTGTGCACTTCCTATCAGAAACTGACAGGTCACTCTATTCCATCCACCAGGCAAACTCTGAGACTAGCACCGGGTAGGGTCATTCTTCTCATATCCCAGTGCCTGTCTCTCACAGATGATGTCTTGGAATGAAAAAAAAACATTTATTCCTGTTTTGAGGAACTGAAAAATGGTTTCTTCCCTTGTTTTCCTTTTGTTTCTCCAAATTGCATGAGACTCGATTCACAGCACACTTACGTTTCGATGTAGCTGGAAGGGGTGTGAGGGACATTGTCAAGTCGCTCCTGTAAAGCTGCCAAAACTCGAGGATTCTGCATCACCTGATCTGTGAGCTTTTCTATGAAGAGTTAAGACCAAACATATTTAAAATATGCCCACCACACACAATAGCCAAGAGTCAAAAATGAGTAACATATCTACTTAGCTTTGCCTAGATTTACATCTACTAATTTCTAAATACATATACCAGTGACTTCTAAAACACGTTTTGAAAATAATTAAAATTTATTTTAAGAGCATTTAACACTCTAGGTTAATCACCTGATGGGTAGTTACAAATTTACTGAATAAATACCTAGAGAGTCCTGGTTCTCACCAGGACTGCGGCTGTTTAACCCCCAGGCTTAAACAACTGAGGACATCATTAATGGAAGTTCACATGGTCTACCCCCAAGTCCCAGTGTGGTGTCCAGAAGCCAAGAACAGAGATGAGATCAGTTTTTCAAAGTGAAAGAGCATCCACTAGTTCCCTCGCTCACTGTGGTGCCATGGCCTTCACAGTCCAGGAGAGCCCAAGGCTCACTAGCTCCCTGACGGCACTGTTCCCTAAGTTTTCTTTGCATGTGCTTCTCGTCTCTGCCTTGAATGTTCTTCTGCCTAAACCCATCTCGTTCCAGGAAGTACTTCTGACCATTCCACCCCACTTACAGCTAACCTACATGTGTAGTGAGCTCACAATCTCAAGATGTTTGTATTTAGAAGCCCATTTCCCAATAAACCAATGAATGAGATCCTCAGAGGGTAGTGACTGTCCTTCTACCCAGCTGTGTGACTAAGGAGTGGCAGACATCTGGCTCATGACACAGACTCTTAACAATTTCCCTCTTAATGATACAATATAGAAACCCAAACCTAGCACCCTTCCCTTGCTTAGAGCCAGGATATACCCAAGTATTCTCCCATCCCGAGTATTCTCCCATGATGTGGGTAAGTTAAACACAGCAAGTAGGCACTCAATTTTAAACATTTATAACAGAACTGCAAACACAACCACTAACATGAAGCACGTGAAGTATATTTAAGGTACATAATTTGTATATATAAAATTGTATACACATGTATAGTATGTAAATACTACATGCACATACACACACACATCAATGGGTGCTAAAACCACTGTGTGAAAGTTTGCTGAAAAAGAAGAGGATATCTACACGTGCCTGACAGATTGCTTCCAAGGTGAAAGGACCTTTATAACAGAGAAGCCTGGCAGGCATTGTCTTAATCAATCACAATGTCCCCGGACAGGTGCCGAGCCAACCTACTGTGCCTCCGGAAGCAATGACCACTGCATCATGTCACCCGTGTGCCCTTCTTGCCAAATGTTTACCCTGAATCTCATCAGGAAGAAACGACTGGGCAAATCCAGACTGTGAGCACTCTATAAGACCACAGTGGCCCAGAGTGCTGCTGTGTTGATGTATTAATAAAAGATACAAAAGGTAGGCAGATGACTCTAGAACAAAACAAAACGCATGATCTTTGAGTAGGTGCTAGATTTGGGGGTGGGGTAAAAATTGCTGAGAAAACCAGAGAAAATAGGAGCACGACTGTCTCTTAGAGAATGGTATTGTTCCAATGCTAAGTTTCTTGGTAATGGCACTGTAGAATTGTTTTAGGAAAACAGATATCCACCACTTGCTTTCAAACAGTTTGGAGGGAGTGGGAAGTACAGATACATAGGTTTTTTTTTTTTTTTTAATGGGGGAAAGATATCACATCTGCGAATTTATGAACAAAATAACATTCCTAGGATTTGCTTTCCAAAGGAAGGAAAGTTAAGGGTATAGATTTAAAAAAAAAAAGAGGTGCAGGGGTCTGTGCCTGCAGCCCCAACTACTTGGGAGGCTGAAGCAGGAAAATTGCTTGAGCCCAGGAGTTCAAGAGCAGCCTGGGTAACATAGCAAGGTTCCATCTCAAAAATAAGAAAAAAGACTGGTCATTTGTTAATCAATACTAAAGCTCAGCGATGGTAGGTACAAGAAGGTAGACTGTACTATTATTCTCTTTACTACTGTAGAGTCTGAATTCCTATAATAAATAAATTTTTTATTAATAAGATACTGATTTTTCATTTTAATTACTCTAGCTTTTCTAAAACCACTGAAGTACAGGAAGGAATCCTTTACTTGTATTAATGTTTCCAGAGAGAGGAAGATTCCCCATACTGGATGCAAACTCTCCATGTGCAGTGAACTAACCTGTATTACTTGCATTTTTAGCAGCTTCCACGGAATCTGAAGGAACCCCATCTGAAAAACTAAAACAACAGTACGTTTAAAAAGTATCATTGTCAAGAAAGCTCCAAAGAAGTAGCACAAATGGACACGTTTCTTATTCAATACATTAAGAGGCATCTCTACAGTGACGTCAGATTTGAGAAGACAACTACTAATGTGCATGTGTTATCTCAGAGGCTGTCCTCTCTGCTATAAAAATATTCTACTAAACACCCCCCTCATCTCCCAAACATAAAGCCCTACAAAGTTCTTATTTTCAACCTTAGCCAAAGCTTCTTAGACAGCTTTCATTTCTACAGCTTCTTTCCTCAAAAAATCTGCTCCCAGCCCTCAAACCAAACCCATCAACCAACGAACATGTTACTGTTTGGTCAGCAGCTCATGTGATCAGACAGAGCAAGGCAGTCTTACGAAGTTAAGACAATGTCCAAAGTGGCTTTGTAAAATTAGCTACAACAAATGTAAAATAAGCCATGAAATAGTTTTCAAAGATGCCTGGACACACCACCCTCATAAAAAATAAACATTAAACAATATACACAACTAAAAGTAACCCTCAATCCACAAAACAAAATCTCCCACTTGATCACTGACAACTACAGACCGTTAGGATAGTGTCAAAATTACCTGACTTCACCCCAGGGGTGTTAAAGCATGGAGAGCAAAATGATTGCTTTCCATAAAAGATCTGTAAGTATCAACATCTGAGGCACTGTTCATGTCTGAAGTAATTTCTTTATGTGCTCAAATACATACACAAGAAATGAGCCATCAGCTAGACTCTGAAATGCATTTAACTTTGATTCTAATATTTATTGAAATATGGCTTGGCTGTTGCTCACCAACTGAATTTTAAACTCCAATAAACAAAGTCCACTTTGGCTTACCTGTGATCTGCCATCTGAATGTTTTTATCCCCTATAAATTAAAAAGAGTTGTAATAATTAGATTCATATAACAAAAATACTTGTTCAATATACTTTTTAAATAATGGTTGTCTATGGGATTGAGTCCATTAGAAGGGACAGGAAGGAACTTTCTAGAGTGATGAAAATGTTCTAGATCTTGACTGAGGTTACCTCGGGGTATACATTTGTTAAAGCTCATTAAACTGTATACTTCAGATCTGTGCATTTCATCACACACATACTTTACTCATAAAAACATTTCTTGGCTGGGCGCGGTGGCTCAAGCCTGTAATCCCAGCACTTTGGGAGGCCGAGACAGGCGGATCACGAGATCAGGAGATCGAAACCATCCTGGCTAACACGGTGAAACCCCGTCTCTACTAAAAAATACAAAAAATTAGCCGGGCGTGGTGACGGGCGCCTGTAGTCCCAGCTACTCAGGAGGCTGAGGCAGGAGAATGGTGTGAACCCGGGAGGCGGAGCTTGCAGTGAGCTGAGATCCAGCCACTGCACTCCAGCCTGGGTGACAGAGCAAGACTCCACCACAAAAAAAAACAAAAAAAACAAAAAAAAAACAAAAACAAAAACAAAAAATTTCTTTGCCTGTAATCCCAGTACTTTGGGAGGCCGTGGTGGGTGGATCATTTGAGGTCAGGAGTTCAAGACCCGCCTGACCAACATAGTGAAACCCCGTCTCTACTAAAACTACAAAATTAGCCGAGCATGGCAGCTCATGCCTGTAATCCCAGCTACTTGGGAGGCTGAGGCAGGAGAATCACTTGAACCCAGGAGGTGGAGGTTGCAGTGAGCCGAGATCGCGCCATTGCACTCCAGCCTGGGCGACAAGAGTGAAACTCCATCTAAAAAAATAAATAAATAAAATAAAACTCTCTTATTGGTACTAAAATAATCAGACTTCAGAATAATGTCAATTCTAATTTGCCTTATTTTTTATAATACATTTGGCAACACAAACATATATTAATGATAGCCCAATTATTTTAGAGTAATTCAAAGCATTTACTGGTGTTTACACTTTCAAGTTTATGGGATTATTTTCTAATTGCATTTATTCCATATCTTCCATTACTTCTACACTGAGGATGTACTGCTTGTGTAAAAACCTTGTGTAATATACTCAGTATTATCCCACTTTAAAAGATGATTATTTCTATATTGGTAGAATTAGATGACATTGTAGCTGAATATTAAGGGTGTGTTCTAGGGCATTTACTTCTTAAACAGAACTTGATATAAATGAAACTAAAAAAAATTTATCATTTTTTTTGAGACAGGATCTCAATCTGTCACCAAGGCTGCAGTGTAGTTATGCAATCTGGCTCACTGCAGCCTCAACGTCCTGGGGTCAAGCAATCCTCCCATCTCAGTCTCCTGAGTAGCAGGGACAATAGGCACATGCCACCATGCCCAGCTAATTTTATTTTTTGTAGGGCTAGGGTCTGGCTAAGTTGCCCAGGCTGGTCTCAAACTCCTGGCCTCAAGAGATCTTCCCACCTCAGCCTACCAAAGTGTTGGGATTACAAGTGTGAGTCAACATGCCTGGCCTATACAATTTCAAAATCTAAGCTAAATGCTTTTAAAGTAACAGCTAAATGCATAGCTTAAAAAGGTCCTTAAATGTAAAATAACCCGGTTGTGGTTATAAAGTTCCTTAAACTCAGATGTGGGAAATACACCTGAGGGCCTTGCTAAAGGGTTGTTCCAGCAGAAAACTGGTCAATGTTCATTCTTCAGTACCTGAACGAAGCCCAAACCACGGAACCATGGTTGTTTAGGGTAAAACAAACCAACAACAAAATAAACCCTCTATATTTAACAAAAACAGCTCTAATTATGATCTATGACTGTGTTCTGTATTAACTCAACTACTTTTTAAAATTTTTGTTTAGAAATAAAATGTGCTATTTTTAAGATTCAAAATACAACAAGTATTACACTTTTTCAAAAAACTAAATTACGTTTTAATGAAGAAGATGAAAACCAAGAAAAAAAAAAGTGCAGCAGGCACAGTGGTTCATGCCTATAACCCCAGCACTTTGGAAGGCCAAGGTGGGCAGATTACCTGAAGATCAGGAGTTTCAGACCAGCCTGGGCAACATGGGGAAACCCTGTTTCTACAAAAAAAGAAAAAAGAAAAAAGAAAAAAAGAAAGGAAAACAAAACAAAACAAAATTAGCCAGGCATGGTGGTGTGAACCTGTAGTCCCAGCTACTCAGGGGGCTGAGGCAGAAGAATCGCTTGAGCACAGGAGGCAGAGCTTGCAGTGAGCTGAAAAAACGTCACTGCACTCCTGCCTGGGAGACAGAGTGAGACTGTCTCAAAACAGAAACAGGGGGAAAAAAAAAGAGGCTGGACACGGAAGTTGATGCCTCTGGTCCCAGCTACTTGAGAGGCTGAGACAGGAGCATCACTTCAGCCCAGGAGCTGGAGGCCTGGCAGCTGCAGTGAGCTATGATTGCACCACTGAACTCCAGCCTGGACAACAGAGAAAGACCCTGTCTCAAAAAAAAAAAAAAGGCGCAACAAATCCTACAATGGCTGGCTATGCTCACCACCACGACTACAGCAGCAACCCAAACCCAGCTCTAGTCAGTGAAGATTCAAAAACTCTTTAATGGCAGCCAGGCACGGTGGCTCTCACCTGTAATCCCAGCACTTTGGGAGGCCAAGGCAGGCGAATCACCTGAGGTTGGCAGTTCCAGGCCAGCCTGACCAACATGGAGAAACCCATCTCTACTAAAAATACAAAATTAGCCGGGCATGGTGGCACATGCCTGTAATCCCAGCTACTCAGGAGGCTGAGGCAGGAGAATCTCTTGAACCCGGGAGGCGGAGTTTACAGTGAGCTGAGATTGCGCCATTGCACTCCAGCCTGGGCAACAAGAATGAAAACTCCGTCTCGAAGACAAAAAACAAAAACAAAAACAAAACACTAACAAAAAACACACGTCAGTGGTTCCCCCGTCACCTTTTGCAGAATACACATTCCTATCAATTCAGACCCTGTCTACTGCCCCATACTCATTCCCACTCACGCTCTTCTGCAGAACCTTCCTCTGTACCTCAGTATCATCATCCACAAACTTCAGTGGCTACTTGAGAAGCTGTTAATGAAGATAAATTGCCTAGTACATAACAGCAGGCCAGGTCTCTTTTCACTTTTGTAACTGTCATGCATATAGACTGTATCTATTCCTTGATATGAAACCAACATACTGAGTTACTTTAAACACTGCACCCTTTATACAGGTTGAGTATCTCTTATCTGAAATGCTTGGGACCAGAAGTGTTTCAGATTTTGGAATATTTGTACAAACATGATCAGGCATCTTGGGGATGGGACCCAAATCTAAACATGAAATTCATTCATGTTTCCTACACATCTTATTCACACAGACTGAAGGTAATTTTATACACCGTTATTTTAAATAATTTTGTGCATGAAACAAAGTTTTAACAGTGACCCATCACATGAAGTCAGGTGTGAAATTTTCCACTTGTAACATCAATGTCAACACTAACAAAGTTTCAGAATTTGGAGCATTTGGACTTTTGATTTTGAGATCAGGAGTGCTCAACCTGTATAAGGAAAGACAACGTAGAGTGGTGGTATTATAAACAAGCTAGAGTTCAGTCAAGTTTCAGCAACACAAATTATTTATTTTTGTTTAACAATCCCTATCACCCTTAAAACAGAAAGTTACAAGGAACTATCAAATATACAGGTTTGAGGAAAATAAATGTTTGTTTTAAATGTTGATATGTTCAGTTTAATATTAGTTTTATAAAACCAGAGCCCAAAGACTCATCCGGAAGGTTCTCTCACTTTTAAAAGGCAATCCAGGGATCTATACAACCTGGTGACTATAGTTAACAATGTATCACATAATTGAAAAATTGCTGAGAGCAGATTTTAAGTATTCTTGTCAGAATCAGTATACCACTTAATGTGAATTAATTTGACTTAGCCACACAATGTATACTTCAAAACATCACATTATACATCATAAATATAATTTTTGTGTTAATAATTAAAAATAAATAAAAGACAATCAAATTAAATTATAACAGGGATACCAGGCAGAAGAATGTTGTAAGTTTTCTAAAGTTCAGATTCCCTCCCAAGATCAAAAACTTTAACTGTGTCTACAATTCTAAATCTGAACTGGCAAGCAAATTTTTATCTTTAATTGGGTTGAGAAAAAAAAAATGAATTCCCATGATTACACAAATGTTATTTTATTTATATCAGACACTGTAACAACCCTATTTATGGATTAACTTCCTTTTACCCCAAACAACTGTTTTCATATGAAATTTTAAAAGTTTTTTGTAACAAAATATAACCTTACATTCCTAATTTTGAACTGAAAACATCTACTCTATAGCTAGAGTAACTATAAAATTGGGCAGCACTTTGGGAGACCAAGGCGAGCGGATCACAGGAAGTTGGGAGTTCGAGGCCAGCCTGGCCAACATGGTGAAACTCCATCTCCATTAAAAATACAAAAATTAGCTGGGCATGGTGGCACACGCCTGTGGTCCCAGCTACTCAGGAGGCTGAGACAGGAAAACTGCTTGAACCTGGGGGGCAGAGGTTGTAGCGAGCCAAGATGGCGCCACTAGACTCCAGCCTGGGCGACAAGTCTCAAAAAAAAAAAAAAAAAAAAGGAAAGAAAGAAAGGAAAAAAAATTGGGCCATGTTTGAGAGACAAAAGACAGTGTGGTTGTACTCCCCAAAACTTTTATATATTTACTCTGTCTTAATAAATTCAAAGGTCCTCAGTGTCTTTATGGGAGATAACTGAAGGATTAAAATTAATTCAAATGTAATTACTGTTTTCACAAGACTCCTTATAATTTCCTTACATCCTATAAATCCTACAAAATTAGGGATGGTAGTAATTTTTTTTTTTTTTTTTTTTTTTTGGATAGAATTTGTTCTTGTTGCCCAGGCTGGAGGCGTGATCTCAGCTCACTGCAACCTCC